TCCTAAAATCATAAACATACTAGGAATTCTAAACCAAAAGCCAAATCAAATTAGGAATCCTAATAACCTATTACCAAAATAGATTAGGAATCCTAATAAACTCATGTTACCAAAATAGATTAGGAATCCTAATAACCTCATGTTACCAAAATAGATTAGGAATCCGTTATCCAACATTATCTGATCTGTTAAATATTTGACTATAGCTGGAAAAAAATAGCTACATTGAAATCACAAATATAATTTAAGTGGCAAAGCAGAGATATTGATACTTTAAAGAAGAACATGAGCGATCAGCAACTATTTTCCCCTAAAATTTTCATTGGGTTCGGATTGGACTGATTAGTAATAGTCACAATCTGATCTTCTACTTTTCAACTTTCTTTTTGCCTTCGATCTTGGTGGACCCTCTTGGTTTCGGATTGAGGTCCATGGAAGCCAATTTTAGAGTTGATAACTGCGCAATCGCGGGTATATAGTGCTTCGTCAAAAAGAACGGTTATCATTCATTAGTTCATGGAGGAAAAAGCTTATCTAGGATGAGAAAAAAGGAATAAGAAGATTATTTGCTATTTTTATCTTTAAAATTTCTAGCGCAAACAACTCAGAATTTTTCCGGCCTGTCTCTAGGCCCCACAGTCAACAGTCAGCAGAAGCACTGCGCGCATCTCGTGCAATTCACGTGCTTCTCCGGGGCCCTTTTTCGCTAGAACCCAAAACGAGTTCTGAGGGGAAGTTCTATAGATGTTGAAATCAGCCTCTTCTCAGTTCCCTTTTATTAAATTCTCGTCTTAGTTTTCTTTATTTTGGTGCAGTTCTATACATCGGTTGAGCTTGAAAGATGAAGCTTAGAAGCAGACGGAAAATTTTGAATCAGGTTAATTTGTTTCATCGATCTCCATTTTGATTTGGGGATGTGAAATTTGATTATTTGGGTAGAAAATTTTAATTGTGGATATCATTTTTTGTTATAGTTAAACGATTATGTTTGCATTTTGATATTTCGATCTCTCTCTCTCTCTCTCTCTCTCTCTCTCTCTCTCTCTCTCTCTCTTATTTCATGACTGTTAGATATTGAAAATGCTTAATCAATTAGTGAAACACATAATCCCAAATTCTTCACAGAGGTACACCATGAGGATCCAAGTTATGCTCAAGCGTGATAACAGTTTAGATGGACGGATTGCTTTAACTGTAAAGGCAGTAGGTGGTGTCTGCATATACCGCATATAAGCATGCATGACCGTATCTAACACATATGAAGCATATCTTCTAGTCTAAGTAAGATGTGCATAGTATAAAATAATGAATATCTTTCACATGTTTTTTTTATTCTTCATATATGGCAGGATATTTTTTTTTCTTTCATATATGGCCGGATATTAGCAAGGTATTAGTCGGTATCTGATTTATTTTCTTCTGTACGTTTGTTGCATGTGGGTGCGTCTATATGTGCTCTTTTCCTTTACTTTTTTTTGGGGGGTTAATTTAGCACAAGCAGATGAATCCTTCAGCAAGAAAGGTTCAATTTGATGTGAAGATCTGAGCAAGTTTACTAGAAGCATCCACATGTAAATGAGCTTGAACCAATTCCATGCACAGCACACTTACTCTCACATGCACATACACGAAAAATGAAAGAAAGAAGGGGAAACACTTCCTTTGGCTCATTCACATTCATGCTCGCGTCAGAACAATTATCTTTATGGAATGAGTTAAAACTTACAAATAAGTAATAACCAAGCAAATCCTAGTAAGATTCTCTTGCACTGAACTCTAACTGTAATAACTAGAAACATCCATATGTAATGGAACTTGGACCAAATCCATGCACGGCGCATGCTTGAAAAAGGGAAGAATGTGTTAGGTAATGTGGAGTCTAACTATCCGACTTGTCCTATTTGCTTAATTGAAGAGGAAACAGGAAATTGAAGAGGAACAGCAACATTGCAGGAAAAAATGATGAAGAACAGGTTTTGGACGAAGGAAACGCTTTGGAGGCTTTACGGTCGACCGCGGACCCTGTAATCAATTTACGTAGTTTCTGTCGTTCTGTCCGATCGACTGCGACGTCAGGTGCGGTCGACCGCGAGTCGGGTTTTGAGTCTGGGCTCGTTTTTTCTGAACTGTTTCAGATTCCTGTTTGTATTAATCCTTACGTTATTAAAAGGGTGATTAGGGCAATTTGTAAACTGACGAAAATAGTAGAATTTTCTCCTACGGCGACCGTGGACGTAGCTTCTCTCATCGAGAAGTGAACCACGTAAATTCTGTGTGTTCTGTGATTTGTTTCTCCCTCTCTTCCCTCTCTCATCTCTATTTCCAAATCGCAACAAGGGCTTGAAAAACCCTAACAAGTGATATCAGAGCAACCAGGTTCGGCGCAGGCGATTTGAGGTCAGAGACATGGGATCTGAGAAGGAGACATCCAAGATCGAGAAGTTTGATGGGACAAACTTCGGGTTCTGAAAGATGCAGATGGAAGATTACCTCTATCAAAAGTATCTATATTTGCCATTAGGAGAGAAGTCGATAGATATGAAGGATGCAGAGTGGAAGCTATTAGATCAGAAGGCCATTGGAGCAATCAGGTTGCCATGTCCAAATATGTAGCTTTCAACATCAAGAATCAGAATTCGACGGCGGATTTCATGGCTGTGTTATTTAGTATGTATGAACAACCCTCTGCGGCGAATAAAGTACATCTCATAAAGAAGCTGTTTAATTTGAGGATGTCCGAGAACCAAAAATTCAAGGAGTACCTGAATGAGTTTAATGAGATCACGGATCAACTAAACTCCGTCAATATTAAATTTGATGATGAAATTCAAGCCATGTTAATACTTGATCAGTTACCTGATAGTTGGAAGGGCACCGTTATTTCGATTAGCGGATCATGTTGAAAATCAAAACTAAAGTTTTCAGAAGTTGTAGACATGGTTATGACCGAGGAGATCAGAAGGCAAGAAGAAGGAGTTTCTAATTCAGGGTCGGCATTGAATGTTGAGAGAAGAGACAGAAACAGAAACAGAAATAGAGGGAATAGCCGTGGAAGACCTAATTCGAGGAATGGCAAGTCAATGTCCAGAAATCGCAAAAGTAAGAAAGAGATTGATTGCTAAAACTGTGGCAAGTTTGGGCATTATGAGAATCAGTGCAAAGAACCCAAGAAAGATAAGGAGAGCAAGACTGAAGTGAACGTCGCCTCAGGGGAATCAGATGATGTCTTATTTGTTCGTTGGAGAGCAAGACAAAATCGTGAGTGCTGGATCCAGGAGCTTCGTTTCATGCTACCTCAAATAGAGATTTATTTGAGAACTATGTTTCAAGAAACTTAGGAAAAGTCTACCTTGGCGATGATCAACCGTGTGATGTAGTTAGAAAAGGAACAGTGCATATTAAACTCAATTGGTCTATATGAAAGCTGAATGATGTAAGACATGTTCCTAGCTTGAGGAAGAATCTGATCTCCATAGGACAGTTGGCAAAAGAGGGATATATATCAACCTTCACATGTGATACGTGAAAGGTTATCAAGGGGTCTATGATTGTAGCCCGTGGTACGAAGAGTGGATCTCTCTACATGACGACAGATGCACGTGGATCTGTTGCAGTGATTGAGAGCAAGAAAGATCCAAATTTGTGGTCCCAAAGACTTGGTCACATGAGTAGCAAAGGTCTGAAGATTATGCAATCGAATGAAAAGTTACCAGGTTTGAGGTCAGCTAATTTTGATTTATGTGAAAGTTGCATCTTCGGAAAACAAAAGAGAATAAGCTTCAAAAGAGTTGGCAGAACTCTGAAGGAAGGAAGCTTGAGCTAGTTCACACAAATGTGTGAGGTCCAGCATCAGTCCAGTCTACTGGTGGAAGGTTATATTTTATGACCTTCATAGATGATCACTCGAGGAAGACTTGTGTCTATTTCATGAAACACAAATCAGAAGTGTTCGAAGTCTTCAAAAGGTGGAAGGCTATGGTAGAAAATAAAACAGGTTTGAAGATCAAGAAGCTTCAATCAGATAATGACGGTGAATATGAAGATTCAGAGTTCAAGAAGTTTTGCTATGATAGTGGCATCAGATTGGAGAGAACAATGTCAGGTACACCTCAGCAGAACGGCATAGCAGAATGGATGAATAGAACATTGACTGAAAGAGCCAGAAGCATGCGACTACAAGCAGGACTCCCAAAGCAATTCTGGACAGAAGCAGTCAACACAGCTACCTACCTGATCAACCAGGGACCATCAGTGCCTTTGGAGCACAAAATACCTGAAGAAGTATGGAGCGGAAAGAATGTAAACATTTCTCATCTAAGAGTTTTTGGCTGCGTTTCATATGTTCATTTAAGTGATCATGTTAGAAACAAACTTGACTCTTAAGTCTTTGAAGTGTTATTTCATTGGTTATGATGGTGATGAGTTTGGCTATAAGTTCTGGGATGAGCAAAATAAGAAAGTCATTAGAAGCAGGGATGTTATCTTCAATGAAGCAGTCCTCTACAAAGATCGTGATGCTGTTGAGTCCACTAATTCGGTGCAGCCTAGGTCTACATACTTCGAGTCAGATGATGTTCCAGATGGAAGCAATCCTGAAGCCAGTTCTGATGAGGAAGTAACAGAAGAAGCTGAAGAAGAGATGAAGGAGGAGATTACTTCAGAGAGGAAAAATGAAGATGCGGATCCTAATTCACTCATTAGAGAGTTAAGACGGTTAGCAAGAGTACCAAAGCTAAATCCAAAGTATCCATCACTACAGCCTAGAGCTCATTTGAACTACTTATTATTGAGTGACGGTGGAGAGCCAAAAAGCTATGATGAGGCATGTTGAGTAGATGATGCAAGCAAGTGGGAGCTTGCTATGAAAGATAAAATAAAGTCCTTGAACTCTAACAAGACTTGGGACCTTACGAAGTTACCAGTGGGGAAGAAAGCCTTGTGTAACAAATGGGCGTACAGAATCAAGGAGGAACATGATGGTTCTAAGAGATACAATGCAAGATTGGTAGTCAAAGGATTTCAGCAAAAAGAAGGAGTTGACTACACAAAAATCTTATCTCATGTAGTCAAATTGATTACTGTTAGATCGGTTCTGAGTATTGTTACAGTTAAAGATATACATCTTGAGCAATTAGATGTGAAGACAGCTTTCCACCATGGTGACCTAGAGGAAGAAATATACATGAGGGTTCACTCAGAAAGGCAAAGAAAAGATGATATGCGGATTGAAAATGAGCTTGTATGGTCTGAAACAATCTCCAAGGTAATGGTACAAAAAATTCGATGGATTCATGCACATGAACGGATACTCCAGGTGCAATGCTGATCATTGTTGTTTCTTCAAGAAGTTTGACACTGATTATATTATTTTGCTACTATACGTCGACGACATGCTAGTAGTCGGTTCAGACATGGGTGAGATCAAGAAGCTGAAGAAGCAGTTGTCGAGTGAGTTCGACATGAAGGACTTAGGCGCAGCGAAGCAGACATTGGGGATGAAGATTAGCAGAGACAAGTTTTTGGGCACATTGCGGTTATCTCAGGCCGATTACATTAGACGGGTGCTTGAGAGGTTTGGAATGAGTGGTGCTAAGACCGTTAGTACACCTTTAGCTAGTCATTTTAGGTTGACTAAAGAGCAGTGTCCAGTGACTGATGAGGAGAAAAATTACATGATGAAAGTTCATTATGCTTCAGCCATTGGAAACCTTATGTACGTCATGGTATGCACGAGATCTGACATTGTCATTACAGTGGGAGCTGTGAGTAGATTCATGTCAGATTCAGGAGAGCAACACTGAGAAGCAGTAAAGTGGATTCTAAGGTATCTACGAGGTACAATAGAAAATTATTTATGCTTCAAGAGAGGCAAGTTGGTTCTTCAGGGATTTGTTGATGCAGACTATGCTGGTGAGATAGATCAGAGGAGGAGCACTACGAGGTATGTGTTCACATTAGGTACTACTGTCATCAGTTGGGTCTCTCAGTTGCAGAAGATCGTTGCTCTGTCGACTACAGAGACAGAATATGTTGCTGTGACAGAGGCTAGCAAAGAGATGATATGGTTGTAAGGATTCTTGGAGGAGTTGGGACTGAAAAGTGAGAAGAATATCTTACACTGTGATAGCCAGAGCGCCATCCATTTGGCAAAGAATCCAGCCTTTCATGTCAAGACCAAACATATACAGGTTTGTTATCACATCATAAGATCAGCATTGGATGATGACATGTTGGAACTTATGAAGATTCAAGGAAGCAAGAACCTGGCTGATATGCTTACGAAGACTGTCACTACGAAGAAACTAAAGTTATGTTCAACTTTAGTTGACCTCATTACTTGATGATATAGGAGGCCTTCGCCGCAGGAAAAAATGGTAAAGATTGAAAGTTAGTCTCCAAGTGAGAGATTGTTAGGTTATGTGGAGTCTAACTATCCGACTTGCCCTATTTGCTTAATTGAAGAGGAAACAGGAAATTGAAGAGGAACAGCAACATTATAGGAAAAAATGATGAATAACAGGTTTTGGACGAAGGAAACACTTTAGAGGCTTTACGGTCGACCGCGAGACAAGATGCGGTCGACCGCTAACATGCACAAGACAGGGTGGTCTCTGGATTTTTGACGGTCGACCGTGGCAACATGTCCGATCGATTGCAGACCCTGTAATCGATTTACGTAGTTTCTGTCGTTCTGTCCGGTCGACCACGACGTCAGGTGCGGTCGATCGCGAGTTGGGTTTTGGGCCTGGGCTCTTTTTTTCTGAACTGTTTGAGATTCCTATTTGTATTAACCCTTACGTTATTAAAAAGGTGATTAGGACAATTTGTAAACTGACGAAAAATAGTGGAATTTTCTCCTGCGGCGGCTATGGACGTAACTTCTCTCATCGAAAAGTGAACCATGTAAATTCTGTATGTTCTGTGATTTGTTTCTCCCTCTCTTCTTTCTCTCATCTTTATTTCCAAATCGCAACAAGGGCTTGAAAAACCCTAACAGAATGAAACAAAGAATGCTAAACCACCTTTTCGCTTATCCACACTCATATACGTACACATAAAAAATCTTATCCAATAAATTCAAACTAAGTGAATCCTGGTAAGATTCTCTTGCTCTGAACCCCCAACTGTAATAACTCAGCAGATCTTATAAATCTTTCCACATTTCTTCTTCGAAAACATTTTTTCCTTGGTTCTTCGTGTGGCCTTTCTCATAACAAGGGAGTTTGTACTCAAAATATCTACCAATTTTGTACTCTCTTACTAAGAAAAACTCCAACCAAATTATAAGAAGCTAGTCTGAAAAAATTCCCCTGCCATTCATTCTATGAATTCCTACTCAACTCTACCCATACGTGTCATAGAGTTTCCTACAAAAATATAAAACCAAAGAGAAGAATACCTTTAGTCCTCTCTTTGAGTATAGCCATTATGTTAACTGGAAGGGATTTCTATGAGGTGCTCTCAGCTCTTGTGCCCTTGTATGTTGCTATGATTCTAGCCTATGGCTCTGTTCGATGGTGGAAGATCTTCACCCCTGATCAGTGTGCTGGAATCAATCGCTTTGTTGCGGTCTTTGCTATTCCTCTTCTCTCTTTCCACTTTATCTCCGCTAATAACCCTTATGCCATGAACTTTCGCTTCATTGCTGCTGATGCTCTTCAAAAGGTGGTCATCCTTGTCATCCTCTTATTATGGAACTTCACCAAGTTTGGGAATCTTGATTGGTTAATTACCTTTTTCTCCCTTTCCACTCTTCCAAACACCCTTGTGATTGGGATCCCGCTTCTAACTGCAATGTATGGTGATTTCTCGGCCAGTCTCATGGTACAAATTGTTGTTCTACAGAGTGTCATATGGTACACTATACTGTTATTTCTCTTTGAATATCGAGGGGCAAGGGCTCTAATATCTGAGCAATTCCCACCTGATGTTGTTAAATCCATTGCTTCTGTTGAAGTCGAGTCTGATGTTGTCTCGCTCAGTAGTAGGGAGCCCTTGCAAGCTGATATGGAAACCATGAAGGATGGTAAACTGCGGGTTTTGATTAAGAGATCATATTCATCATCAAGATCTTTGGCATCTCATGGTCTTATTTCTCAGAATTCAATTGCGTTGAGGGATTTTGATTATGGCGAAATGGAAATCTTCTCGCTTTCATCTAGAGAAACAAGTCCGAGGGCTTTGAACTTCAAGAAGGCCAGTTTTTATCCGATGTCATCTAGAAAGGTTACTGGCCTGAGGGCGGAATATGATTATAACTTAAATGAGAATAAGGAGATTAGGTTTGAAAAGCTCAAAGGAGTACGGACTAGGAACCTTGACTCCATCTCTTCTTATCCCATCCCAAATCCAACTCTATCTGAGTTAGATATGGATTCGATAAATAGAACCGGTGCTAATGATGGTCTCCATATGTTTGTTTGGAGCACCAGTTCAAGGACAGTACCTGAAGAAGATCTGAGAGATGACGTTAGAACTGCTTATATCAATTCTAGTGACGACGAATTTTCTAAAACTGGTTCTCATCAGAAGACTGGTGGTTTAAGAGGTAGATCTGTCTCTGTGTATGTATCTCAGTATCTGTGTATTCAAGCTATCTTATGTTAAATTACTGTTAGGAGCGTCTTACATCTATTGAGTTCAATAGGTGGACTCGATCTTACAAAGGCATGAAACGGGGTTTAGCCCCGTATTGGACATATGGTCAAATGAATATATATGCTTGGATTCATGACTCAAATAGGGTAAATCTTAGTGATTTTCTCCGGATCCAAATAGATTAGCCTAGCCCTGGGCCTCTCCAAGCCAGCAGTAACTTCACTATTTAAATATTGATTTTCTTTGAAAAAGATTGTTTTCATTATCGCAAAGTAACAAGGGTGTGTTATATCATAGGTACCGATATCTCCAGCAATCATGCTAATCCAAAGAGGAAGACAGGAAGAGATGTGGAGTTGTGTGCAGAAGATGAACTCAAAAGAAAAAATTCAAAGCTTCCTGTAACAGAATCTCGACTTATAGCTATAGATAAAGCTGGAGAAGATGAGGAAGGAGAGCAAGTAAATGTCAGCAGCGCAATGCCACCGGCTACTGTTGTGACTAAGCTTATAATTATCATGGTCTGGAGGAAGCTTATCCGAAACCCTAACACTTATGGAAGCATAATTGGCCTTGTATGGTCCCTCATATCATTCAGGTGCGCATTGTTAACCCGAAGAATCTCTTCATTTCTCTGTAAAAAAGATTTATGGGTTTTCATTCTAGCTTTGATATTATTGTGATTAGACCAATTTGGATTCTGAGCTATGTGCAGTCTACCGTTTGGTACATCACACTAGTTTTAATTTCATGACATACTGCTGCTTATCTTAAACTTGCAAGCCTTCAATGACTAGTGTTGTGAACTTCAGTACAAGATAAGTATGCTAAAAGTAATTTTCTGAAGCTTAGCAGATCACAATGGGATTTATAGTAATGGAATTTCTAGTTTTTTTTTATCTCAAACCGATTTTGTTCCTAGTTTAAGAAGCCTAGAGAAAGACTTCGAAAACTTCATCGAGATATAAAAATTTCACTTCAGTGGAGTTGGCAAGATTTTTCCTGGGGAACCAAGTAGAGTCCTAAAGTGCAGAATAGCAGGGTCTAGGTGGAAGTCCATTAAAATTGTTAAGAGGTCACTTGTAAAACAAAAAAGAGTGTGTGACAGATACAGTACTAGAGGAAGCAGCAATCTGCCTATTTCCTATGTTTCTTCTCGATATTTTTCGTAACATCGATTACATAGTATCAAAGCACAAACAGTAAAACAATGTCCTGCATTCAGACTTTAACCCTGTAGAAAACACAAAGACCATAGTATTTTTCATCCTTCGCTTCTCTGAACTATTTGCTACCACACGCCAATTTGAAGTTTAAGTGGTTATTGAAAAATGAAAAATTCTTCATCTTTTTTCTTTGGTATAATTCGTGCGTATTTTTCTCTTCATTCGTTTCAGGTGGAATGTTGGGTTGCCTAAGATTATATATGGCTCCATAACTATACTATCTAATACAGGCTTAGGGTTGGCTATGTTCAGCTTAGGTAACTTTTCCAACAATTTTTTTGATCAGACAGCAGTCGATAAGATTCAATGCCTATTTAAACAAAAAAAAAAGAAAGAAAATCGGTTTTACATATTATATCATCAAACAGGCCTCTTCATGGCTTTGCAACCAAAGATCGTAACATGTGGGAAGAAGGTGGCATTGTTCTCCATGGCTGTCAAGTTCTTGGTGGGCCCCATAGTGATCACGGTGACCTCCGTAGCCATTGGCCTCCGTGGGGATCTTTTACGCGTGTCCATCTTGCAGGTATTATTTCTTTAAGAAGCTTTATAACCCTAAACTCGTAACAATTAACCAATAATTTGCCCTAACCTTGATTTATTGCAGGCATCTCTTCCTCAAGGGATAGTTCCTTTTGTGTTTGCGAAGGAGTATGCTTGTCATGCTGGCATTCTTAGCACCGCGTATGTAAATTTGTTTCCACTCCACAGAAATGTTTGTGATTTATGTATATATATATATATATATATATATATATATATATATATTCTGATATTAATTTTGTTGACTGTATATCGTTTTATGTTTCTTTTGTACAGGGTTATCTTTGGAATGTTCCTTTCCCTGCCTGTAACAATCATATACTATATTCTTCTCGGGTTGAAAGTATGACACAGCAAAATCCCCGATGAATGCATACAAATCCTTGATTTTCTCAGTGTTTTCGATAACCCTCTCGTTGGAATTTAATTAATAGAATTTGTATGAAATTTTCATAAAATTTCCTTGTTCGTGCCATCCTCTGGAGCCTTTTGTTTCTTGTAGGGACATTTGAGCTTCCTATCTTCTCTCTGGAGAGAATATGTGCGAGGATTGCTCTTTCTTCTGGTACTTGTAATTTTCTTTCTCCTGCCTGAACATGACAACGGATGCTCTGGATAAGCTTGTGAGATAAGTTCTTAGCAGGTGGAATTTGTAAGTGATATTTCTTGTAATTTGTTCATTAATGAGTGACTTCTTTTTCACTTTTCTTTGATGAAAGTTTGATGATGAGTGTAAATCATACTCGGTGCAGATTTCAACTTGGAAGTTACTGGGTCGACTTCGAGGTCGCTTCCTTAAAGTCTAGTTAATTTAATTTCTTTCTGACGTACTTAAAGGTTTAAATTTAGAGTGTAGGTTGTAGAATTCAAGTTTTTCCCTTTCCAAGAAATAGGGGGGAAAACCGCTTCTAGCCTTCAAAATTAGAAAGCAAATTCGCTACCCACTTAAGATTTGGTCAACAAGTCAAAGCCCCTATAAATCCACTTGGTTATGCTTCTCCTCTTCAAATCCGGTGTCATCTAAGCATTACACCACCCCCACCCCCCACCCCACGCATTTTACCCCTAATTTTCGTTTTGTCACTTGTTAAGTTTATGAGTTTATTAAACTTATGCATTCGTTGTTAAAGCTTTTAGTCAGTTGTTAAACTTATACATTATTTGTTAAGCTTTTTCGCTAGTTGTTAAACTTATGCATTGGTTGTTAAGCTTATGCTTTTCTTAAGCCTTTTCTTTAGATGTGCATTTTCTTTTGGATATAGGTCATAAGTTGTGTTTTTCTTTTTTTCTTTTTTTTGGTAAATGAAAAATTTTATTCATCAACCAATATGAAAAGAGAATGTACATCAAGAATCTCATCACATTTGTGAGATAACAAATCTAGTATCTAACTCTCAATGAAACATTTGCTTGAGCCATAACACTGTTTCTAACTTCTCCTATTGACTCTTCAACAAAGAATATGAACCGAAAACATGTATCAGGGATATCAGGTACAACCTGCACATGAATTCCCGCTGAGGTTAATAGAGGTCATGCCATGAGCCAAAAACTCCTCCTATGTATTTCACAGTGAAACATTTTCAGCTACTAATCCCATGTTGCACCTATAAGGAGATCAACCAGTTTTTATTTTCCCCAGGTAGTCCACTGTTAAGAACTACTATCAGCAAGTCCAGCTTGATGTTTTTGATGATTTGCTCAACAGTTTTGAAACTCTGTTTAAAAATCCTCCCATTGCGCTCCAACCATATATTGTAGATAGAGGAAGTGAGGGCCATTCTTTTAACATTGATCTTGAAAGCTTTTCTCCTTTGGTTTGCTTCATACCAGCTCATCAATAGATTCCAATCACAGCTTTTCCAATTGAATTGTAACCAATTCATAACTCCATTCCAAACATCTCTCGAAAACTTACAGTCAAAAAACAAATGGTTTCGAGTTTCAGCTTCTGAACCTGCACATAATACACAGTTATTGTTTTGAATGACCCCTCTTCTCAACAGCTTATCCTGAGTTAGTAGTCTATCTTGGACTGCTAACCAAGAGATGAAAGAGTGCTTGGGGTAATTTAGTCTCCCCCAAATTGTTACATTCCATGACACTCTATTTGTAGTGGGGATTAAGGCGTGATATAAGTCTGACAAGGTGATTTTTGAGTTCCTGCAGCAGGAGCAGATTAGGCTAGTTAGATTAACCTCCCCTCCACAGTAATCCATAGCTTTATTTCTGATTTTCAGCAACTGCTTCCATAACCAGGAATCACTTCTTTTGATTTCTACCTGCCATATACTCTTGCTCCTGAGATAAGTGCCATGAACTCATTTGATCCATAAGAGCTCTTTGTTAGTGTGTATATCCCATAGGGTCTTTAGAGCTGCAGCTTTGTTCCATGTGATTGAAGAAAAAATCCCTAATCCTCCATACTTTTTATCTGTGCAAACCCTTTCCCAGGATACCAATGGAGTTTTGAAATCTAGATCATTTTCCCCCAAAGGAAATTCCGGCAAAGTTCATCCACCCTTTGAAGCACCTTAACTGGGAGAACGTAACTGGATGTCCACTATATTTGAATGCCAAGGATGACACTTGTTCGCTGGAAAAATTGTAGCTTTCATCATTGATTCCATTGCACTCTTAAATAACAACTTTTTGCGTTACAAAGATCCAGTCTTTTTATAAGATCCGGTTACAATGAAAATCAAAGAAAATAAAAGAAAGATTACAACTTTTTATCCTTGTTTGTCGAACAAATCACGAGCTCCTGTTTTGCGGTCGCTCGCTTGTGTGGGTTCTTTGCCTGCGCCGGGGTTTATCCGTGGACCACCGCGAGATCTAGATCCGATCAGATCTAAGCAGTACGACGGGTATTATTCCACAAAGGAAATAATAGCCGGGGAGGATTGATTCACCAAGGAAACAATCGTCCAAGTCTCGGGATCTAAGACCAAGCTTAGATCCGGAGTACGTCTGCGTAGATCTGAGATCCGGTCCTCTCGAACACCTGCCTTTTTTAGCGTTGATGATCGCTGAGCACCAGATCTGGAAGAGTGAGTCCCCGAAGTCCCAAAGCTCCAATCTTTTCTAAGTTTCGAGTCTTGAATCCGACAGAGCTTCGCCTCCAATATTTCCAACCTTTCACAAATGAACCAAGGGGGCCTATTTATAGGCGTTGATAGGTTCGGATTCGATTTGCTGATCTGATTTGGCAGTAAATCCGGATCCCGATTAGGCAGTAAATCCGCTTCTGAGTTGGAGTCCGAAACCGATCTTGATTCGATCGTCATTCGTCCGAGTATGCCTTTGGTTGGATGACTCGTTGACTCTTCGAACACTTGGCTTGATCCCGCACGCGAATGGACGTATTCCGTTGCTTGCGTGCGATTAGTCAATCTCGTCGTCTCGTTGGTTTGTCGGTTTGTGCCGAGCTGAGCTAAGGGACCTATAAGCAATTTTATATGCCTACAGATACCCCCTCCAAAGTATTTCAGTCTCGTTCTTTTATAGAAGAGTCTGGAATACTTTGGATATGATTGTCCCCACCTTCAGTCGGTGTAATGGGACCTTGGAATGACTTGTGTTCTTGATTCCTTCAATCCTTCAGGCTATTCGGTGCTTTGTCGAATGTCTGTAAGGGTTCCGGTGCTGCATTTATTGTCTGACCGTTTGTCGGAGATTTTGAACCTTGAAGTCGATTCCTGATTTTTGATCTTCAGCTCGTAGAATTGACCATCGATTGCTGGCGTCGAGTTTTTATGTGCAACGCGTTGTCCGGCGTTGTGTTGTTGAGTTATCCTTAAGAATATTTTTTAGAAAAATACTCTCCAGAAACTTCTCAACCAAAATTAGGGAACAGTTTATACTCATATACCTTATTGGAGTAAGAAGCAGTTTATACTCGTATACTTTTCGGAGTATTGATTCTTTCATTGCAACGCATTGATAGGCGTTGACCTAGGGTTACGCGTTGTCCGGCGTTGACCCTGGGGTTTTGACCGTCGTACGTTGACCTTTTTGCTTGCAACGCGTTGACTGGCGTTGACCTAGGGTTATGCGTTGACCGGCGTTAACCCTAGGGTTTCGAACGTCGTACGTTGAATTTTTGCTCGCAACGCGTTGACTGGCGTTGACCTAAGGTTACGCGTTGTCCGGCGTTGACCCTGGGGTTTTGACCGTCGTACGTTGACCTTTTGATCGCAACGCGTTGACTGGCGTTGACCTAAGGTTACGCGTTGTCTGGCGTAGACCTTAGGGTTTTGAACGTCGTATGTTGCTCAGGTCACGAGACCAACTAAAGAAGCTGATGCGTCAGTGACTTTCGTATTTATAGGATTTTTGGCAAATCCTCAGCCATCAACGGGTTTGATGCGCCTTTACCGACTACCGTTTGAGTCGGGCTAGCATGCGGATTGTTTTAAGTCCGTTCCGCATGTGACGTTATGCTAAAAGAGTTAACTCTTTTAGTGCTACGATATTGAATACGTAGACTTCGTCTTTCTCCTGTGAAAAGACTAAACAGCAACGTGTATCAGACGTTGACTTAGGATTTTTGGCAAATCCTCAGCCCTCAACGGATTTGTCATGCTTTTACCGATTACCGTTTGAATCGGGCTTACATGCGGATTGTCTTAAGTCCGTTCCGCATGTGACGTTGTGCTAAAGGAATGAACTCCCTTAGACTTGATGCTACGACTTCGAATACGTAGACTTCGTCTTTCTCACGGGAATAGACTACCCGGCGACGCGTGTTAGGCGTTGACTTTAGGATTTTTGGCTAACCCCAAGCCTTTAACGGATTTGATTAGCCTTTACCGACTACCGTTTGAGTCGGGCTAGCATGCGGATTGTCTAAATCCGTTCCGCATGTAACGTTGTGCTAAGAGAGTGAATTCTCTTAGACTTTGTGCTATGATGTTGAATACATAGGCTTTACCATTGTTATGGGAATAGGCTACCCAGCAACGTGTATTAGACGTTGACTTATCCCTACTTAGGCTTCGGGATAAAAATACCCCAGACTGGTATTCTGGTGTCTTTTTCAATCGGTAAAAGACTAAACCGGCGACGCGTGTTAGGCGTCGGCATATCCTTTCTTAGGATTCAGGATGAAATTCCCCATGCGTGTAAGGCATGGATTTTGGTGTTATTAATAACAACCTGCCACAATGTTGAATATGTGGACGGATGTTCTTTTCAACGGTTAAGAACTAACCGGCAGCGCGGGTTAGGCGCAGACTTATCCTTGCTTAGGTTTCAGGATAGAATACCCCAGAATCGAACTCTGGTGTCTTTTTGTGCGGAAAAAGACTAAACCGGCAGCGCGTGTTAGGCGCAGACTTATCCCTGCTTAGGATTCGGGATAAACTTCCTAGTACCTGTGAGGCACAAATTTTGGGATTTGAAAAAGGTGGTGTCTTCTCTTGGGGCAAAGACGAACCCGAAATGGGGGAAGAATTTTTATATTCTATCTCCCGACAATGAAGAAGAAGAATTTTATATTCCATCTTCAACTGGAAAGGAGACTCGAGGTGGGATCTCCACCTCCAGAATCCGGAAAGGTGAAACTGAGAGTGGGATCTCCACTCCGAGAATCGAAAAGATTCGGATAACCCTAACTGTCGGAAGGTTTGATTACCGAACTAAAGATGAATTTCTCGTTTATCGAGAGTGAATTGCGGTTTTGGTCCTAACTGTAGGAAGGTTTGAC